CATGAGTGCAGTGCGAGGAGGGTCCTAGTGGCTGGGCGAGGCGAGGTGGCGGGATGTCGGGGGCGGGGCTGTAAGCAGGGGGCGTGGCAGGACCGGTGACGCGAAGCGCGGGGGCGGGCCCAGGTGAGACCCAGTCGAGTAGCCACCCCACGGCGCCGCCTCACGGCTCGTCTGGGCCCCTCCCCAGCACTGACTTTGCAGGCCGGCGGGAGGCGTTGTCTTCGGCCCTGACCCGGCTGGCTTCAGCTCCATCTTGGGGCACCTGTGGCGGCCGCAGGAGCAGCGCTTCCGCCGGCCTGCGTGGCTCAGTGCTCGCGAGAGGGTGAGAGGCGACTGTGTGTGTGTGTGTGTGTGTGTGTGTGTGTGTCAAGGCTCGCGAGAGGGTGAGAGGTGACTGTATGTGTGTGTTTTGGGGGACAGACAGCGCCTCCCCCTCCTTCGCCCCAGGACCCCACTTCTCCCCCCTCCCCGCCTCGCCTCGTGCTGAGCGTCCCCCTGGCCGCATCCCTCTTCCCATCTCTCCTCCCATCACCCTATCTCATTCCCTTTTCCTTCTTTCCTTTACCCATTCTCCCTTTTTTCAATACTCCTCCCTTGACCCAGTCTCTTCTGCCTCCATCCCTCCTTTTGTCGCTTCCTCCTCCTCCCATCGCCTCCACCCTTGTTCCCCAAACCTCTTATCCCTAGCCCTTTGCCCACACAGCCCGTCCTCCTCCAGTCACTGCCTTTGCCGCTGAAAGGGTCTGCAGCCCAGTTTTGGGGGACTGAGTTGAGGGTCTTCTTATGAGATTGCGTGGGCTCTGTACGGCAGGAGTGGGGAAGGGAGCATTGCGATTGGTGAGGGTGTAGGAGTGTGGGTTTGGGCCTTGGCCCGGCAGCTAGCACTGCCTGTCCACTGGGTGTGCAGAGTACGGCACATGTGGACGCAGTTCCATGCAGGCTGCTCAGCAAACAGTCCGTGCCTTGGAGTCGGTGGGTCTACGGGTGGGTAGGTACCCGTGAGTGAGCAGGTAGGGACATACTGACCACCTGGGCTGGCTGCTTTTAGGCTTGCCTTATTCACCCCAGACCCTTCCAAGGAAATGTGGGGCAAACTTTCCCAGAGGAGAAAGCTCCGGGGCTCTTTGGGGTCCTGGGCCTCTCTTGGATGTATCCTTGGGGACACATGCCCTGGTTACCCAGACCCTGCCTGGGACAGCCTGTGGTCTGGGACATGTTGCCCTTAAGGCTTCCTTCATCCTCTCTGCGACTAGACAGCTTTTGTCTCCTTCAGGAGTTAGGACTCCTTAGTCTCTCAGGAGTTTTCCTAGCTGCATTGCTTACTTTGGCCCTGAGCTGTCCTGTCAGGCCCCTTTCCCAGCTGGGATGTATCATGGCTTGAAGTTGCTGTGCCCCACTGTGCTATGAAGGATTTGTAGGATGTGCATCCCTCTCCGGTCCCCGAGGAATAAGGCCCATTTGCCCAGTTTCCTCTCCAGAGTGCTTTTCTTTTCCTGTTTTGGTTTTGCTGGAAACATAAATGCCTACCAGTTAGCAGGAGGGGACACAAAATGATTCCATGTGTGTTATTTGAGATAGGGCCCACTTAGAGTGGTCTTGGTAGTCCACCTGGGCACACCCCACAGACATGGGCTACTCTGCTGGATTCACATGTTAGGAACAGGATTCTCTGCCAAGTTGACCCAGCAATCTCTTTGGTTGGGCAAATCTGGAAGTTTCTGCAGAAATGGTATCTGTTATTCAAAATGGCATTGATTGGTTATAGCATGTGAGCTGGTTGCTTCTCCAGTCACTGACAGGACCTGAGGTAGCAGGACATCCTGGCATTGGTCACCCTCTTATGAACCAGCCTGGCTTAGGCCCTACAGGGGTCAACTGGCTGATGTGTTGGTTCTGGAGGCTGTTTTTGATTGCCCTGGCCCAGGGAGAGTACTTGGGAACGTGAGCTGAGAAATGTTCTGGGCCTTTGTCTGTTTCAGGTGAGGTGATTTTAAGAGGCCTTCAGACTTGACCACCAACAGGTGCTGTATGCCTAGCCTCGCCTAGCCCCCAGCAAGAATTTTGACTTTGCTGCCATGTGACAAACATGGCTTACACACATGAGCTCAGAGACAGGTATGAGGAGTGGCTGGGGTGCTGAGAGCCCACAGAATGTGCTCAGAGAACACAGGGAGGGTTGGCCATTTTAAGATTCCAGCCCACAGGTATCTGCTTCCAAAGCCCACAGCCCAGGACCTACCGAACCCAGAGAGAAGCCTTTGTGTGACCTGGTCTTCTGGCATAGTCCAGCTGCCACGGCTGTCTTGAATTCTCGTCATGCTTATAGATGATTTTTACCCAGCCCTTTTCTTCTCACCGAAATGTCCTAAGCCATAGCCCTTCTCCCTTGTACGGGCTGGGCTGGCAGGTGAAAGCTTCTTCTCTGAACCCTGAACCCCTGGAGCAGTGCCACAGGGACCCTCAGATGTCGTACGGGCTTTCCTGGACACTGGGGTCTTCCTTGGTTCACTGAAACTGGAGGATCCAACTAGAAGAGCTTGCCATTCCAGGACCCATCTGGGGCTCCCTGTACTCTGCTCAGTGTATGCTCATCTATTTCCTCTGTTGGGTCCTCCAGGATGGCCCAGGGTTAGTAGAATGGAGCAGTCTCTGCATCAGGTGCCTCCTGAGGGAGGAAAGGATACTCCTCACTAAGGACCTGAAGAATATAGCCAGGTCCCTGAGCTACACCATGAAGCGTTGCAAGGGAGGTGATGTTATCTGGATTCATAAGTGAGGAAACTGGATTCATTTAGTGACTCACATGAGCCATGGTGAATACAGGGGCCCAGATGGGAGCCCACATTTGGTCTGTGTGATGCTAGAGCCTTCATGCTTCCCCCACCACACCTCCCGTCTCCTTGACTCCATCCAGCTTTTAGTGCCCACCTTCTGGGCAGCAAGTGGAAGCTGCCAGGCTCTGTGCTGTTCTTCTTGCTCAGTCTCCCCTGACCACCTTGGGGCTGTGTCCAGAGCTTCTTGGTCCCATACAGTAGCCATTAGCCACATTGTGGCCATTTAAATTTAGATTATTAAAAAATTTAATTTCTCAGTGACCTGTGAAAAGGAGCTATGGTGGCTCAGTGATTAAACATCTAGCTGTGAACCAAAAGGTTGGCAGTTCAAACCCACCAAATGCTCTGTGGGAGAAAGATGAGGCAATCTGCTTCTATAAAGATTTACAACTTTGAAAACCCTGTGGTTCTACTCTATTCTATAGGGTCATGAGTTGGAATTGACTTGATGGCAGTGAGTTTTCAGTCACCTGTCAGGTAGTCAGTAGGCACATATGGCTGATGCTGTGTCCTGGACAGGACAGAGTGGAACCTTCCTGTCATTGTAGGAAGATGTGTTGAACTGGACTCCGGAGCACGCTTACTTTTGGCCCTACAGCCACTAGCCACCTCTGGAGTTCTGGGACCAGCACCAAGTTGGTAATTCTACAGAAACTGAGATCCTAGGGACCCTCCTGCACACCCTTTCCCAGTGCCCTTGCTCACCTTGTCAGGGCAGTTGGGTTTCCTGACAGTCCTTATCAGCCCAGCAGTGAGAGGGCAGGGCTGCTGTCCCTACCCACGTTCTTCCAGCTAGTCCTGCCTGCTGGGGAATCCCCAAAGTGATCTCCCTAAGCCACCCTGGCCCACTTACCCCTTTGGGGCCTTGCCCAGTACCAGTCCACTGTTCCCCATGTGTCCCCTGGACATACAGCCTTCTGCTCAAGCTGTTCCTTCTTGAACTTAAGAGGCAAGTGCTCTCCCAGAGGATCAGTTGCCCCCTGAGGGGATGCTCCTTCCTCACTCCCCACCTCCAGCTTGGTTTGTGGCCCTCAGCACTCACATGGACTTGTTCTTGTGTTGGATCATCCTATTGACCAGGCATATAGCAAACATCCTCTAAAGTGCCTGCTGTGCTCCAGGTTGGTGCTGGGTGCTGGAGAGATGGGAACAGGCCAGCAGTGTGCAACCAGAGATGGAAATGGCCAGCTGAGAGTGTCAGGACAGGCCTCCCTGGAAGGAGCCACTAAGGCTGGAGGGGCCAGTGAGCTAGACTGAGGGTGGGTCTGTGGGCTATTCCAGAGGGGTCTGTGTGGCTGGAAGAGAGGACAGGAGTGACAGGGAGGGAGATAATGTAGGCACATTTACAAAAGAGTTTAAGCTTCATGGAGGACATGTCTGGTTGGAGGTGCTATGTGGGCCCTGAGTGGACCTCCATCCCCAGAGGCACAGCTATATCTAAATTACTGGTTCCGTGTCTGGACTTCAGAGTCCAGCACACAGTAGGTATTCAGAAGATTGTGTAGAATGTGTAAACAAATGCTGAATGAGCCTCATGTGTGAGAGGCTGATGCATGGGGCTTGTGCCCACCCCTGGTGTTCAAAGGAGAGTCAGGAAGCCCTTTCCCCCTTTGTAGCTGCCAGGGTGGAGTCCCTGAGATATGACAGCCCAGATGGCCAGGCCAGAGAGCATGTGGGGGACCCTAGGCAGCTCTCAGTGTGTGCTGTATTCTCTGCTGTTCATCTTCCACACCTTTACTGGCCCTGCTTGGCCATGGAAGCCCCTGCCCAGTGTGATATGAAGACTGCATCTGTGGAGAAGCCAGAACTGGTATTATCTGATAGAGCTGTACTGGTTGTTAAAATACTACCTAGTATTTTAATCCCTATTTTTCTGCCTAGTGGGCCACCATGTGTAGCCAATGTAGAGTCAACAGCCGGCCCGTAGGTGGTCTCTGGGGCCTATGCTAGGGCCAGGTCCTGGTGATGAGACATTTTCAGAGTCCTCCCTATCTGTATGGGATACATGATGACTTTGATGTGAGGTGTCCAGTATCCAGTCACTGCCATACTGGGCTGTCTTGCTGATGGCTCTGACCAGTGCAGGCTGTGACTGCAGTTGACACCCTCCTGCAGAGTCTAGCCAATGTGCTACCATCCAGTTCAATCCCGCTCCCTCCCTCTCTCCTGCAGGACAGCATGAGAACCAGCCACCCTGAGCCGGAGGCCAGGGCACCCCGGAGCCACCCCCCACAGCCACTGTCGCAGAGCTCTTTCAACCTGCTAGGTGAAGGCCCTGGGCAGAGACCGGACGTCCACAAGAGTGCCAGCAGCACTGTGTGGCAGGCCCAGCTGGATAAGGCCAGCATTGTCCCCCGGGCCCTGGAGGAAGAGGGGCGCCAGACTGAGAGCATGGAGCAGGCTCATCCCTCTAGCTCCTGGCCACAGCCTGGAGCTGTGGGCCATTGGCAGACCAGAACTGTGGGCAATGTGTCTGCAGTAAGTGGTGATGACCTGTGTTGCTTGCAGACCCCCAGCACTGCTGCTGTACAGAGGAGCCACTCAGACCTGGTCCACAGTGCCCAGACTCAGGGGCACAGTGGGATTTGGAAGGCCAGTCTCAGCTGCTCAGCCCTTAGTGGCTCACCCATTAAAAGAACTCCTGGCATCACTTCTGGCCAGCATGGTCAGTCCCCTGCAGGCTTGGAGAGGGACATGACACCTGAGCACAGGGGAGCCTCCAGAACTGTGGGGACCTCAAACACAGCCTGGACTCTGGGGGAGAGTCAGATGTGTGTGGCACCAGTTGATCTGGGGGGCATAACTGCCCACAGAAAGAGTCCTAAGTCCAGACTCAAAGCCACTGGACAGCTGGCCACCACCTCCTGTCATGCTCTACCCCCAGAAGCTGACCTTTGTGACACAAGGGATATAGGAATCAGTAGCCATTGCCAAGCCCTATGGGACACAGAAATCCTGGCGTTTCCCAAGCTGATGGCCTCAGTGAGTGAGTCTGGGCTACAGGCTCAACACAAGGTGAAGTTCCACTGCAGGCTGCCTGGAGGCCTTCCTGGGTACTCCCACTGCTATGCCCACCCTTGGAGTCCCAGCAGGTTAGCCACAGAGCCTGGTGCCAGAACCAAAGATGTATGGACCATGACTTCAGCCAGTGACTTGGCATCCCCTCCAGCAGCCCAGGATGCCGCCGTGCAGGCAGTTCCCATGGCAACCTGCAAGGCTGTGGCCACCAGTCCACCGCTGGAAGCGCCTGTGGCCTTGCACATGCTCCCAGAAATGACCCTGGGGCACAGCCTGGAGGAGGCACCATCCCCAGTGCAGGAGGTACGGTGGGACACAGAGGGCATGACATGGGAGGTGTATGGGGCTGCCATGGACCCTGAGGTACTGGGCGTGGCCATCCAGAAGCACCTGGAGATGCAGTTTGAGCAGCTGCATCAGACACCCACCAGTAAGGACAGCCTGTCCACGGAGGGCCACAGAGGGCCACTGCAAGCTGTCATGCAGTCCCTGCGATGCCCCAGTTGCTGTGGCTGCTCCAGTGTGGCCCCTGAGTGAGACACTGAGAATGTGGAACTGGCCTGGACCCACGGACTCTGTGCTTGGGCCCCATATTCCTTGCACCCACTGGAAGCTGTAGGCATATCACACTGGATACCACTGCCTGCAGGCTGCAGCATACAATGGGAGCTTCCCACTCCACACAGTGGGGCTGTGTTCAAGGGCTTGATTCCCAACAGTCCCCTCCAGTCATCCTGGGCTCTGAACTTGGGAATTAGGCTTCTGCACTGTACATAAAGGTCCCCCGATTTTTCCATAAAAATACTTGACTTCTGTTGAGTCTGCCCTCAGAATTCTGCCCTGCATTCCCTAGGATTCCTGTGGCTTCATTTTAAAGTAATGCTGGGATATGATGAAACCTTGACATGGACTGTGGGGCCACAAGTGCAAGAACTTCCTGGTTCTGATATTTTACAAGCCCTCCTGAGTGCCACACACTGTTGGGCACCTTCTTATTCTGGGTCTTTACCTTGAAGTCTCATATTTTACAGGTGAAGATACAGGCATTGAGTGAGGTGATGGTTGTATGCCCTTGCTTGTCTTTGGGGCTGAGATGCAAAGCCAGGGCTGGCTGGAATCTGTTCATCTCCTTACAAGGATACAAGCATACTGCCCACTCTGTTCAGTTCTGGACAAGGAAGCCTTGTTGAGCCTGTCTTCTGGACTGAATTCATTGGGTCCTGAAAGGAACAGGACAAGTTGCCCAGGCCCTCAGAGCTCACAATCTGGGAAAATGTACATCTGTAATGGTCAGGGCTCTGAGCACCACAGAAAAGCCTCCAGGCTTTGTGGGGTACTTCTGAGTCAGTCCACCTTAAAGATCACTGTGTCAGGCTGGCCTCAGGAAGGGGAGAACAGGCTGCCAACCTCCCCCAAGTATGCCCCATTATCACCATTATCATATAAGGATGTATTCCCACCCAAAATGCAGTTCTTAGAAGGAAGGAGGGCAAGAATGATTGGGGAAAGGGAAGGAGCTTGGCTGGGGTCCCTGGCATGGGGGCATTACCAGGTGAGGACTGGCTAAGAACTCTGAGGTCATGAGAGTCAGGAGAGCCTGTGACTTGGGCAAGAAAGTGGGAGCCAGGAACTAAGTGGGCTCTGTGGGACATGGGGTTGGCACAGCCTGACTTCATTGTCCAAGGATCACTAAAGGCCTGTGGAGGATGAGAGTAGACTTGTGTCAGGACTCCTGGGACCCAAAGGGAACACAACCACCCAGTCTAACCTTGTGAGGGAGACCACAGGGTAGTGTCCTGCCCAGGGTCACATGACATGGCAAGATAGACTGGGCCTACATGCCACTCGGGAATTCTGGTAGCATAGTGCCTAAGGCAGTTCATACCCACCAGCCACTCCTTAGAAGGAAGATGGGGCAATCTACTTCATAGTGATACTGCCTTGGAAACCCAAGGAGGGGTTGCTATGAGTCGGGTCCGACTCGATGGCACATAACAACAACACAACAACATGCCTCTCTGCCCATGTCTTGGCCCCTTGTGCATCTAGGACCTCAGGGCCCACAACGTGGCATCCTTCTCCACCCCAAGGACCTAACACTCACCATGATGGAAATGACTTACACAACAGTGGCTTAATTTTTAAAGGAAGAGTGGCATTCTCAAGGCAAAAGGAAACAGGTGACAAAGCCTCCTAATGTCCCAACTGAGTCTTGCTTACCCAGAAACATGGCTTCCTCACTCCAAAACTGGGGCCAATTAAGATGGCACCCTGCTTAAAATGACAGTGAGTCAGAACTTTTCTGGCAGTGGGACTGGGGCAGGAGGGCACTTAACCTTGCTTCCTTTTTAAAATGAGCAAATTTTCATGAAATCGTGGACCTGGTTGTTGGTACCAAGGTGCTGCTCAGGGTTTTGCCTTGTGTGGGGGCCAAGGAGCAAATGGACCCCTTCTTAGGTATCCTATATATCTGTGTCTGGGGCTTAGATGTTGTGGTGCAGGGCAGGCACCTCATGCTCCGTGGAGTGACCTGTGAGGGCCATACCTATGAGAGTCCTTGTGCCCAGCCCTGCACAGGGCCTCCAGGAGTCTACAGCCTGGGTGGGGAGAGGCCATCTTCACACTGGCCTGAGCTGAGCAGGGTTGTGAGGGCCCAGTGGGGCTGGACAGGCAGGTGGCATGGTGGAAGGACATTCCAGGCAGAGGAAATAGCATGGCCAGTGGGTTGGAAGTGCCTGTCTTGTCCAGGCCTTCGGAAGTTGCTTCAGATATAGGGCTGCCATTTTTAAGATCCTGGTATAACTGAGGAAAGGGACTGTTTAAGGGCAATGGGAGCCATGGAAGGGGCAGTGGGGCCAGATTGCATTTTAGAAATATTTGGCTGCCCAGTCAAGAAGACCTTAGAGGCTGGAGCCCAGGGGTAGGTGGTCTGGGAGCCGAGGAAAGGCTTGTTAGGGGATGATAGGAATGGATAGGTGGGGGCTATACTATAGATTTAATTCCGTCCCCCCCGCCAAAAAAAATATGTATTGGAATCCTAACTCTATACCTCTGAATGCACCTATTCCTCACTTATCAACTGTCTCATTACCTAACATTTTGTATTTACAACAATGTATTAGTCTGACTATTTTGTGCATTAATGATGTACATCTGGCAGTAACAAATGAGATGTGAGGTGAGAGTAATTCTGGCTGTGATGGTTAAGGTTATGTGTCAACTTAGCTAGACCATGATTCTTAGTGGTTTGGCACTTATATAATTATGTAGTCATCCTCCATTTTGTGATTTGATGTGATCATCCACCAGTTTCCCATAACAACCTAGTCTTTGTAACCTAACCATGCCAATAAGTAAGGATTAGGTGATCCCCTTTGGGAGTAGGATTTTCTTTGTTATGTTAATAAGGCCAAATCAGTATTGGGTGTTCTTAAGCTAATCATTTTTGAGCATACTGAAAAATCAGATTAGGCATAGAAGAAAGGACAGACATGGGAAGATAGATGCCACATAAAGATCTAAGAGGAACAGAAGCTAAAAGAGACCCCTCTCCCCTACCAGTTGACAGAGACTTCTCCAAGAGTTGATGCCTTCAACTTGGATTTCTAGCCTCCTAAACTGTGAGAAAATGAATTTCTGTTTGTCAAAGCCATCCACATATGGTATTTCTTTTTTTAAAAAAATATTTTGTTGTTCAAAATATACACAGAAAAACACCAGTTCATCAGTCTTACATGTACGATTTAGTGACATTGATTACATTCTTTGAGTTGTGTAACCATTCTTGTCCTCATTTTCTGAGTTGTCCCTCCCCCCATTAAAATGAATTCACTAGTAGGAGGTCTCACATTGCCGGATCTCAAAACCTACTATACAGCCACAGTAGTCAAAACTGCCTGGTATTGGTTCAATGACAGATACATA